GGGCCGGCCGGCCGCGGGGCAGCGTCGGGATCCCGCCGGAGGTGGACGGCTGACAGACACGCAGAAGCTCTCCCGGCAGGCGGTGGGAGCGGGCGAACCGCAAGCCAAGTCCAGGAAGGGTGAGCCAAGGGCTGCCCGCAACTGCCCCTTGAAGATGCTAGGGAAAGCGCAGCGCTCTAGTGTGAGCCGTGTGCTGCTTGTTCGGGAACGGGCCCACTGCCTCTTCGCTTTGTGCCCCAACAGAAGCCCACGGACCCTCCGGCCGTCCGCTCACATTCGGCGGCGGTGACGGGCTGCGGCTGTGGACACTGCGCACTGCCCGGCTTAGGTAACACGGCCGCACAGCGCAGTCTGTGTCCCCTGGGCGCCCGTGTCCGGTGACCTGGCGGCTGTAAGCCGAGCAACGGAGTTTCAAAAATGGAGAAATGGCTAGAAGGTAGCTGAGCCTGGTGGGTTGGGAGGGATTAGAGCTTAGCTGCGACCCCTTAAGAAATCACCCTGCCCTGTGCAGAGTGAAATATTGGGGGGCTTGGGGGGGCTGAAATCAGCGAAGAACTGAGAGGAACCCTGCGGATAATGAGTAACGAAAAGTAAGCTTGTGCCTTAAGCTCAAGCTAGTGAAATTTGCCTTTGTCGGAGCGGCTCCCCCGCCCTTTCCAGGAGTTCACACACCAGAGAACATTCTTTTTTCTGTTCTCTTTCAGTTTGCGCAAAGCTCTCAGTGAGGGAACATTTCCCACCTCCCCCTACTCCCACAAAGATGATCAGTGCTCATGTGCGAGAGATGAACTCAGCCGTGTCCAGGGTGGTAACTGCTTGTGGTTTCACAAGATGAGCTGCGTGTCTCTGATACCCCAGCTGAGGAATTTGGACTTACTGCCAGCGGTTAGGCAATATTTTCCATATAAAGCAGAAATGCCAGCAAATTGCCGATCATCTATAACTCCACAAATTTAGTGTTTTTCCGTCAGTGGAAGTGAGTCACGGAGAGTGGAAATGTAAAGGCTCCCACTTAATCTGTATTGCTTTCAGGGGGGGAAACGGTCCACATCAAATGAGAGCTAATAATAGGTCTGTCTCAATGACAGTGGGTTCAATATTTACGCTTTGCCCAATTGAAAAATTTCATTTCAGGAAAACATGTTCTAGA